GGATAAACGGCCTCGGTAGCCCAATTTCCGGCTTGCTGGCAGTGAGTGGGCTAAGTGAATTGTGCCCTCTTAATTTGTCAGTTACTCCCCCTGTTTCGAAATAACTGATGTAAGAAGACAAAATTTTGAACTGAAGTATTTACATGATAATACTATACATTGTTGCCTTGTTGCAGCATATCTTCATTCTAGCTCTAGCACATGGTTATTTGCTCAAACGTGTGTTCACGCCATGAGTGTGATGATAACATGATGTTATATGAGCTGCTCAATGTCGTGGGTTAAATGACTTCCTGGTTCGTGAATTACATGAGTAAAATTGTGGGGTAACAATTCTGATTGGGCAACCGACGTCACTCGGGTCGGTCGCCTCTAGCGAGAGCTATGACTTCGTATATTCATTTGCACACAACTGCATCATTATCTCTCGCTCTGTCATGCAACATTTCTTTTTTGAACCGGGCTCTGCTCCTTTTCATTAACAACTTAATCAGTACGAGAGCAATGTCTAGGAAGGGAAGAATGAAGAGTGAGTTCAACACATTGGCAAAAAAAGCCACTGCATGTGCCAACACATGTCATAGGGCAAAAACCTATCGACGGCAAAACCTACATTTACGAAAGTTTCTCATAGGGCAAAAACCTATCAACAACAAAAATATCTGATTTTTAAAAGGAATCTTAGCAGTCACAGTGAGCCAAAAGGCTCTCAAGCAACACGTATGAGGCAGATTGGTTCATGCATGCTACCTATACTGGTACGATAATTTTTCCACTTTAAATAATTGAGCACCAAAAAGGAAGAGATGCACATGAGCGGAGCCGTGTCAAAGTGTACAATCCCGATTTTACCGCCTCATGCTTTATATAGCACGCAAGTCCAAGATCAAGTCGTTGAAGTAGGACCAGCCGTCCCCGACCTCCCATGTACTGATCAAGCTAGGCCGCAAACTGTTGGTTGCAGTAAAATTGAGATCGACTCAGACAGCGTGGAGGTGGTCGCGGCATTAAAAAATGGTTCTTCTTCTTCATTGGCCACTGCCGACTGTTATTTTAAGTCTTTAGTTTTCGTCATGTTATCTTTGATAATTGTAATAAAGAGAGTAATCAGGTAGCTCACGAACTGGCTAGACTAGCTAGATTTTCTCAATCGAATACTTGGTTGGAATATGCAGTGATTCCTTTGATTGTAAAGGATGCAATGGTTGTTATGACTGAATAAAGGAGGCTTTGATTGTCAAAACGAGAACAATTTAAGAAGAGAAAGAGTACTAGCCCGAGAAGAAGTGTACTCCGGCAACACATGGGCCCACACATCAGCTCCTTGCAAGCTTCCCGCCCACGTATAAATCCCCTCCTCGTCCTCGGCTCCTATCTACGTACCTTCCGCATGGTTCCCGCACTGCCCAGCACAGCAACGGCATGGGATCGGCCACCAGCTCCCGCCACCTCCTCCTTCTCGTCCTTTGGCTCAGCGCGTCCGCGAGCACTGCCTGGGCCCATGGAGGTGGCGGACACGGCGACGGCGACGCGGACGGCGGCGCGAAGGCGAAGCCGGATCTGCGGGCGCCGGGGCTGGTGGCGGTGAAGCTGTGGTGCCTGGCGCTGGTGTTCGCGGGCACCCTGGCCGGCGGCGTGTCCCCCTACTTCATGCGGTGGAACGAGGCGTTCCTGGCGCTGGGCACGCAGTTCGCCGGCGGGGTCATCCTCGGCACCGCCATGATGCACTTCCTCAGCGACGCCGACGAGACCTTCGGGGACCTCGTCCCCCACAGCGCCTACCCGTTCGCCTCCATGCTGGCCTGCGCCGGGTACGTCCTCACCATGCTCGCCGAGTGCGTCGTCTCCTCCGTCGTCGCGCGCGGCCCCGGCCAGACCACACCCGCCGCCCCGAGTGCAGGTGAGCGCAGCAGGTCGCATGTTCTCCGCTGAAACTAACTGCTATATCTGCGCATACACCAGCTGGCCGGCGGTGTAAAGGTGGCAGCTGCGCCGTGCGCGTACGTTTGGTTAAATCTAAATGCAAATTTGCTCCCTTTCTATTCCGGGGCGGGCGCTACGTGCTACGTGATTGGCAATCTTTCGATGCGCATTTTCACGGTCTTACTGTTACTCCTGCGATCTTATTAGTCATGGTTTAAACGTTCACTTGAGAATCCAACCCTGTTTACAAACTTCCAGGAGCGCTGGAGGAGGGCAAGCTGAGCAGCACCGATGACAACAGCATCGAACCACAAACATCTGTAAGTGCAGCCTCCGAGTCCGGTGTTGATTTGGCAGTCGTTCAAACTACCACACAGCTCTGTGTACTCGCGCGTGCAGTATGTAATAACTTGGCGGTGCCGCGCGTGCAGGACGCGCACGGACTGTCGACTGCATCCATGCTGCGCAACGCGAGCACCATCGGCGACGGCGTGCTCCTCATCGCCGCGCTCTGCTTCCACTCCGTCTTCGAAGGCATCGCCATTGGAGTTGCCGGTAAGACAGAGACAGAGCTTGAAATTTCCTGGATTTTGACTGCCATTAATGAGAGGATCTCTGCATCTTACTAGATGTGTGTGTACCTCTCGACCCTGCTTCAGTCACTGATTTTCATGCCTACTTCTACTTGATCCGGTCTACGAATCGACGATTTCTCGCAGAGACGGAAGCCGACGCGTGGAAGGCGCTGTGGACCATCAGCCTGCACAAGATCTTGGCCGCGATCGCCATGGGCATCGCGCTGCTCCGGATGCTCCCCGACCGGCCCCTCCTCTCCTGCTTCGGCTACGCCTTCGCCTTCGCCGTCTCCAGCCCCATCGGCGTCGCCGTCGGCATACTCGTCGACGCCACCACGGAGGGCCGGGTGGCCGACTGGATCTATGCCATCTCCATGGGCCTCGCCACGGGCATCTTTGTCTACGTCTCCATCAACCACCTCGTCGCCAAGGGGTACAGGCCCCAGAGGCCCGTTGCCGCCGACACGCCCGTCGGCCGGTGGCTCGCCGTTGCGCTTGGCGTCGGTGTCATCGCGGTCGTCATGATATGGGACGCCTGAATGTGGTTCATGATAACTAGAACCATTTACCTATGGATGTAAGCCTATTGTCCTGCTAAGCTAGTTGGACACCAGATTTGCAGTACCAGCTGACCAAATGAAGCAGCTAATGACAGATAAACATGCGCGCTTAATCGCTCGTTGATAAACATCCACAATGCCACAATGTTAAACATCCACAATGCCACACACAACCTACCTACATGCTTCATTGGCTTCCTGTGCACAAATTATCTGTACAATGTTGCTTAGGTCACTTGTCACTAACATAGAAATATGTTGCTCTTCAGATTGACGTGCATGATGTGATAATCCGAAATTCAAAAATGTCATGCACGTTGCTGTACCATTTATTTCATCAAATCGAACCTCTGCAGCGCAGCTTCGCGCGTGCAAGCAAAGCTGGTATCCTCAAGCCCATTTCGCATAAGTTTGCCTCCATCCGCGTGAGCCTCTATGCTGATGCCGCGGCATTGTTCATAAACCCCTGCAAAAAAGAGCTGGACGCCACCCAAGCAATCCTCTTGGCTTTTGGGAAAATCTCTGGCCTGTCCACTAATAACTTTAGCAAATCCTCCGCCTATCCCATCTGCTGTGATGATCAGTTGATTGCCGAGGTGCTCTCAGACTTCTTGTTGGCCCGCAGGAAGAATCACACGGTTGCTGTGGCCCTCCAAGACAGAAGATGGATGAAAGGGATTGAAAGACTGAATTCCTCGGCTGACCTTGATGCTTTTCTATCCCTTTGGCAAAAAAAATCAGAATGTATGCCTCACTCATGTCCAGGATAAAATCAACTGGAATTGGACGTCTTCAAAACAATACTCTGCCAGCTTGTCCTACTCGAGTCAATTCATTGGATCCATTTCTAGGCCAGACCTTGAGATGATCTGGAGGCTGAAGATTGAGAGGAAAGTAAAAAAAAAAATCATTAGGACCTTGGTGCAAAATCGACTTCCCACTGCAGCAGATTGCGTGCCCAAGGCTCCGATTATAACAATGTGTGCTCCTTCTGCGATCAGGAGCTTGAGTCTGCGCTGCACCTCTTCAGCACTTGCGCTTTTGCCCAGGAAGTTTGGTTCAAACTGCGCTATACCTTGCCACAACGTTGTCCGATCTTACCTAGCTCCTTGGACTCCATCCAGACTTGGTGGCATTTCTGCTACCAGGGCCCCAAGAAGAACACTGCCACCGCGGCGTACTTTGCGTGGCACATTTGGAATGAGTGAAACAGAAGAGTATTCACCAGAAAATGCATCACTGCTGATAGGGTGATCGCTTTGATCAAAGCTGATTTAGAAATGATAGTTGTAGCTCTTTAATGTAGTCTTTTTGCACATGCAGGATGCAGCATCTCTGATGACTTCGTTCTCTTCCTTACCTCTGCTCCTTCCTGTAAATCTTCAATGAAAAGGCAGAGCACCTGCCGTTCAGAGTCAATTTTTTCATTTCATCAAGTCCTCATTTATGCTTATTAAAAGTCCATGCAGCAACTCGTGCGGTGTCTTTTTCTTTGCAGAAAAACTCGTGTGGTGTCGTCTAGTTTTTATACTGAATAGCATGTGCTAGAAATGCCTGAATTTGTCTTTTTTGTGTACCCAACACCAAAATGTATTTCATCATGAAAGTTTACAAAAATTAGTATACATCCATATGTATGTGTGTGTTTTCAGAAATTTTTAAAACTTAAAAATCATGTTTCATCATGAAATTTTTCAATATCCAGGCTCCATGGAGCCGGGAGCCAAAAGCAATTTCCAAGTTCTCGCTCTCTTGTTTCTTAATACAAGACAAAAGGTATAGCAAAGTAAAAATCAAGACACTAGAAAAAATATAACATTGGAAGACTATAAAACGCTGTACATCATTTTTAACTGCCAAGTGATCTACATATATACTACAGATTTGCACTCGTATCAAACAACATCTGAGAGACGGAACTGTGTCGTCCAAGTTACGCTCCTCAGCTGCTGCAGCAGCCGTAGGCTCCAGACGGCAGCGTGTCCCTGTCAAGGTTGCATACTTCATCAACTCCGGGCGTGACACCACTACACCGCAAGAGAAACAACAGTGGACAAATTAACACGATAATCTTGTTTTAAAAAAATTAACCCGATAAGCAGCTGCTAGCAAAACACTATGCAGACACCCACCTTGGAGAGATCGATGGCGCCTTCCTGGATCTTCTCGTACACCATGGACGAGCTCTGAAGGAATGCCTGCGTGCATATAGGGTCATGTCATGTCAGAAAAAGGCCATGGCAAATTGCGCGCCGCTGCGGTGCGATTCGGTGCTTCGAGTTACCTCCTCCACGTTGTGCCGGGTCCTGGCCGAGGTCTCCATGAAGGCGAGGCCGTTCTCCTTGGCGAACTGCTCGCCTCTGACCTAAATCTGATTTGTTTCCGACCAGCATGATGGTGATGTTGTTGTTGCCGTCCGCCTGCTCCCTCATTTCTTCCAGCCAGCTCGCGACGTGGTTGAAGGTCTCCCTCCTGCTCATCACCAGAGGAAAGGATCGACATTCTAAGTCTACTGGTAAAATTCTAAGACGACAGCAACTTAAAATGCATGCTTAATCTGGTGAATGTACCTGGTGATGTCATAAACGAGGAGAGCCGCGGCCGCACCTCTGTAGTAGGATTTTGTGATTGAACTGAAATCCTCGTGGCCTGCCTGCATCATGCAGTTCACTTCAGTAAAGGTTTGACAGTAGGGAATGCATTTAGTTTCGTCTGAAGGTTCATAGAGGAACAGTTAACAGACCGTGTCCCAGATCTGAAGCTTTATTTTCTTCTTGCCGATGGTGACCATCCGCTGCCCAAATTCGACGCCGATGGTCAGGTCGTGCACGGGCTGGAACCGCTTGTCAGTGAACTGCAGCAGGAGGCATGACTTTCCAACTCCTGGGACAGCAAATTCATAATTAACATGGTCATGGTTTCTTCTTGGCTTCTGGCCTAGGCCAACGCAAGCATATACAAGGCTTTCGACTGGAAAGATAAAACCCTACAGTTGCGTCGATCGAAACTGTAGCCATGATATAGCAAGTACGATCCGAGCCGCGCGGCAGCACGTTGTTGGACGGCGGCCGTCGATGAAAAACGAACAAGATTTCGAGTTTCTACTTATAACCGGAAGTGGATTCGCGTACGAGATCACGCAACGAACCGATGATAAAATCAGGGCACGATGGACTAGAAACGAAAGAGAGCAGATGGACATCGAGAGCGCGCGAGGCGGTGCCGGGTCGAGAAGAAGGCACGCACCTGTGTCGCCGACGACGATGTACCTGAACTTGTAAGCGAACGACATCGCTCCCAAATTCAGAGTCCAAGCACCCGGGCGCTGCTTCTCGCTTTAGATTTGACGGCGACGGCGACGGCGCACACCAAATCTTTTTTTGTGTAAAAAAAAAGTACCGAAGGCGTCGACCCACGTTGGATTATCTAGCGCGATCCTCCTTCCCCGTCGATCTCCCTAATCCCGTTTTCCTTTTTTTTATTCTAGAAGTTTGTTTTTTCTCTAGTCTCGTACTCGTACGTACTATGTGATCCCGATCGTAGCGCTGCCCGTTTCCTTTTCTTATCCGTGGTTTGTTTTTCTCTCGTACGCGGGCACTTCTCTAGCTTTTCTCCCCCTTTCTTTTTCTGCGGCTGTTTTTTCTCTCGTGTGTCATGGCGATTCAGGTAAATTTTCCATGGCAAAAATAAATAGTTAATTTGGCATAGCACATTTAAAAAGGCAAATTTGCCATTGGCAAAAGAAAGGTAATATTACCATGGGAAAAATAGGGTGAATTTGCCATGGCTATAAAACTAAATTTGCCATTACAAAAAAAAAATTAACATGGGGCACTAGAAATGGCATGATGCATAAAAAAATTGGCATGACTATTTCCCATCGTCCCATAAAATTGTAATTGCCATGGCAAACCATTCGTTGGATGGACTTTGCAAAATACTCAACGAACCATGGCAAAACATGATTTTAGTTGCCATGGCAAAAAACACATCTACAACAAACAACTGATTTTAGTTGCCATGGCAAGTTTGCCATATCTTTCAATATCGTAGGTTGCTATATTTTTTGAGTTTGCCATGTTTTTGAACATCATAAATAAATAATTTGACATGTTTGTCATGTTTTTGAACATCTTAAGTTTGCCATGGAAAGTTTGCCGTGTTTGCCATGGTAAGCTGCTGGCTATGTTACTAACCATGCTCTAAGTGCCGGGCTCTATGATGCCAAATCCCACCAACCACCATGCAGGTGACCAAAGTTCATGCACACATGGCTTTTTGCAGTTTCTCAAAAAAAAAACATGGCTTTTTGCACCGTTTTTCTCAACCAGGTCCTAGCCTTCCTGGTTCGTTCTCCTCTTGCAGACTGGCCCATTCTCCGGGTCTGATGCATTTTGTAGATAGACGGGAGAGATATGTGTGAAGTGAGGAGTGAATTTATCACCACCATCACCAGCTGTAATTTACAAGGCATAGTAGAGATTTGTTTCAGTGTAGGTATAATAGAGATAGTAGAGTTGACGCCCAATCTTAAGTTTGTTTGAGTAGAGAAGTAACTTCTTCTTTTTTCTTTGTGATGAAGTACATCCAAATCCAACTTCATTAACCGCTCAAAGAACAGTTTTGGTACTGCCACATATTGACACCTTTCTTGTCGACGGACCGAACTTCTTTGTTCAGCGCATCGCTTGCTAATAGAATAACCAAACGGATCCTAACGAAGGAAGCTCGTCAGGCGACGGGGACACCGGTTTTGCCCGTCCTCCGGCCGGCGACCCTGACGACGACGGGGCTCCGGACGCGGTGGCGGCGCCGCCCGGCGCCGTCCGACCACACCATCTGCCCGAACACGTACTCGCCGGGCGCGAAACGCCCCGCCCTGGCCCTGAACGTCACGGCGAACTCCTTCTCCTCCCCGGCCGCGGCGAACTCCAGCCGGCTCGGGCGCACGGTCACGGACACGCCGCGCGGCGCGCGGACCCGCACGTCGTAAGCCGCCGGCGCCGCGCCCACGTTCCGCACCCGCCTCGTGACGGTGCGCGGCTCGCCGGAGGCGGGCAGGTGGGGCACCGTGACGGACGGGTAGTTGAGGTCCTCCGGCCTCCGCGGCGTCGCCGGGCAGGCGCGCGGGCCGCCCATGAACGTGCCGATCACGGTGGAGTTGTAGCCCAGCGCGCAGAGGAAGTGGAGGTAGTCCGTGGCGTTGGTGTCGTAGACGAGGCCCGGGTCGGCGGCGCGGTTGGGCTGCACGTGGCCGGCGCCGTAGGCGAAGGGCGTGGCGCGCAGGAACGACGAGTTGCTCATCGGCCTCCGCGTGTTGTCCTGCACCCTGGCTGCACAAGGCCAAAACGACGACAACTCTTTTTGTCAGCGCGCGGCAGCAGCAAGAGATTGGTCTGAAATGTCACGTTAATTTGTACCGGTGGTCATGATGGCGGACTTGATGGCGGCGGGGCTCCAGTCGGGGTGGAGGGCCTTGAGGAGGCCGGCGATGCCGGCGACGTGCGGGCAGGACATGGAGGTGCCGGACTCGGAGTTGAAGAGGACGCGGCGGCTGTCGAAGGTGAGGCCGGTCGGGCCGGCCAGGCCGGTGAACGCCGCCAGGATGCTCACCCCCGGCGCGGTGATGTCGGGCTGCGACACATACGGTAAGATGCTCAGCATGGTCGTGATGTTACTACACGATTATTAAGGCACGGGCGAGTTTGTGGCAGAAAAGCCGGGCGGACCTTGAGGATCTGGGGAGTGACCGTGTTTGGGCCCTGAGAGGAGAAGGCGGCCATGAACGGCGCCGGCTTCGTCTCCAGCGCGGTGTTTGGCAGGGTGATGTAGCCCGACGCAGACCTGCATGACATTTTGATGTTGTGGATTCAAAAAATGGTCGAGCAAAAAAACGATTGGCCCATACAGGTCTCGAACCTGTGACCTTCGCGTTATTAGCACGACGCTCTAACCAGCTGAGCTAATAGGCCCTGCTGGTTGCTATGCCAAACTAGGTGCACATATCAGATGGCTTACCTGGTTGAATTCAAGTAGGCGAGCAGCGCGACTCCGTCAGAGTAGGTGATGTGGGTGGCCGGGAGCACGTGTGCGTCGGCGATCATCTCGTTCCCGGTGGCCTCGTCGTTCGCCAGCACCAGCCCGACCCCGCCGGCACGATGCACCGCCTCGCCTTTCTCCACTCGCGCGTTCTTCCCTCGCATGCACACCACGATCTTCCCCCTCACTTTCTTCTTGTCCAGCGACCCCTCGATGCACACTTGCCTGCAATGATAACATAACATGGTTACAGTTTCATCTCTGACAAATCATTGCAAGTAAATTTCAGCAGCAATTTGATCGAGTTTTCTTACGCTTGGGCCACTGTTGCATCTTCTGCCTTGGCTTCTACTGAGCTGATCAGCCGGTAATGCTTGTTGGCAGGCAGGGGCACCGGCGACAGGCTCTGTCCCTGAGCAAAAGATAAAGTGTTACATTACCACGGGAGAGATGGACACATACTTCCTCCGTCCGTAAATAAGTGTACATCTAGCTTTTGTCTTTAGTCAAAATTTTAAAACTTTGATCAACTTTATAGAAAAATGTAGCAGCATTTATGGCACTAAATTAGTGTCGATAGATTTATTTTGAAATGTACTTTTATAATATATCAATTTGATGTCATATATGCTATTATTTTTTCCACAAAGTTGGTTAAAATTTTAAGACTTTAACTTAGGACAAAAGCTAGATGTACACTTATTCGCGGACGGAGGGAGTAGCAGACTCGACTGAAGATAACTCGGGCAGAAGCAACATACTTTCATCTGCTTCTTGTTGCCGAGGACCAGGTACGCCGGGAACTCGCGGTCCATGGTGCTGGCCCCGACGGTGACGAGCCACGGCGCGGTGTTCGACACCGTGCCGGCCCCGGGCCCGGAGTTCCCCGCCGAGGAGACCACGGTGACGCCGTTCCTGACGGCGTGGAACGACCCGATGGCGACGCCGTCCCTGAAGTACTCCGTGGGCGCGCCGCCGAGGGAGACGGAGAGGACGTCCACGCCGTCGTGGATGGCGGCGTCGAAGGCGGCGATGATGTCGGCGTCGAAGCACTCGCTGCCGTTCACGGGGCGCCAGCACACCTTGTACGCCGCGACGCGCGCGCCGGGGGCGCCGCCCTTGGCCGTGCCGTTGCCGTAGCCGAACAGGTTGGCGCCCGGCACGAAGCGGCCCGCGGCGGTGGACAGCGTGTGCGTGCCGTGCCCGTCGCTGTCCCGCGTGCTGGCCGGGCTCGGGCTCGCGGCCGCGCCCGCTCGCCCCACCGTCGCCGCGTACCCCTTGTTGAAGTACCGCGCGCCGATCAGCTTCCTGCATGCGGCGCGCGCGCTCATCACAATCACAATCACGATTCACAGCCACAGTTCACGTCAACGGCATGCATGAGACGCCATGATGAGCCGCTTGAAAGGTTAGGCTAATGATTGTGTAACTATCAGCAACACCATGATGTTTCCAGGAGAATCTTGCTTGGAGGAGCAGCAGCCAACGGGTGATTTGGAGGAGGAATTTCCTCGGTGTGATGAGGATGGTCCTAGCGTGCGTGCATGCGGACAAGATCGCACTCTTGGCATGTTTCCTCCCGCGACTGCGTTTCATCAGGCACGCTGCATTATAGGTTGTCGAGCGAGCGGGCTGGCCTGGCCCTAGCCGCGGCAGATGATCGCACAGCACATGCTAAGCTCGCGCAGGAGCCATGCATGGACCCCGACGCAGAAAGGGTGGAGAGCGAAGCCAAGCTTGCGCTGTGCGTGGACCAGGGCGCCCTTTTGGAGCTTTTCGGAGGTCTGAACGAAGAGCGTGGTGCCTAGCGGCTTGCTCATCAGCTGCTCGTGGATCGATACGGTACCTGAAGCAGGCCGATCGAGCTGGATGCAAACAGGGGATGCGTAGGGACAAGCACGATGCCCGGGGCAACATGTAATCATGGGAAAGCGCAGGGCAGAGAGACGGAGGAAATCTCTCTGGTAGGCCGGGATGCATGCAGTTGAGTCGGGCTCTAATTTTGAAGCTGAATCATGGCTGCAATCTGTGGCGCCACCACACTGACCCTGGCAGCCAACAGCGGAAAGGTGCCATCGATCTGTTGACGATGACTGAGGATGCGAGCTCTGCCCCCCTGCCTACGCTCGCTCACATGCATGACTCGCGGCGTGGACTGGTGGATTACTGGTAGGGGCAGATGCTCAGCGGAAAGGAGGGCAGGAGAGGCCACAGTTGTGCAGAGGCAAGCATGCTAGTGCGCTAGGACAGTGCAGTGCTAGAGGTTTTTTGTTTTAGTTTATTTTCCATTTCGCACCTTGTTAGCATGGCGGCACACCAGAAATAGTGCAATGCCAATACCATGTGTCTGAAACTGTGGACATTGTTGCACTTGCATGGGCATGGCTGACTTTTTCTTGTGGTTATGTTGCACAGTTCCAGCGGTTTCAGATATTGTTAGCATGAGCATTTACCACTGATGCACTGCCCGTTCGTAGCCTGATTAGGCCAGCACAACTCTACTTCAGTTTAAGCCTATTATTCAGAATCAGAATAGAGGCACAAGTGTATACTACTAGCCTGGCTCCAAGTCCTAGGGCACGGCATGTCGAGATCGTTGCTTAAAATAACCATAGGCTAACCATAGGCACTTGCCTGAACTTATGGGACAAATCTTAGTTAGGTCAAGACATGTCTCTCGAACCGCAGTCGACCTCTTGTCACTAAAGAAGACAGCCAGTAGGTGGGGTAATAGTTAGTTTACGCTCTACAAAGCCCTGTACATTGCACAGCGACAGTGGTCAAGTCAAGCCCACGTTGGCGAAACGCTAAACAACACGAACCAACCAACGCCCGGACAAAAACCAAACCACGTCGGGATAACGCACGTACTACAGAGCTTGAACCGCCGCGCCCGAGGCGGCGACGCATGGAGGCACGGAGGGCCGTGTGCCCGTGCGGCGTGAGCAGCCGCTAGCTGCAGTGCAGACGGTATACTTACTCTAGAGTGCAAGCAAAGGAGAAACCGAGGGGAGGAGGAGGGAGACGCGCGCACGGACGGACCTGTTGCAGCGGACCTGGGCGTCGTCGGAGGAGGACTGGTCGTGGCAGACGCCCCGCCACCGCGCCGGCACCGGGCCCATGCCGTCGTCGCTGAAGCTGCCGGCCTCCGGCCACACCCCTGCATGCATGAACCGGTGTAAACATACTCAGTTAGTTTCAGTCACGTGCATGCCGGGCGGTGGCCCCGCGCTGCTGCGTGGTACAGTAGTAGTAGGAGTAGCGTGGTCGCCGGAGCCGGAGCCGGGGGCCGTGGATGAGGAGGGATTTGACTCGGCGTCCCGGATTCCCTGTCGACGACGCCGGGCCTGTCGCCCTCGCCCGACCTGTGCAAGCGCGCCAAGCAGCAGCAGCTTTCCTATTCCTATAATTTTTTTATCATATATAAACCAAAGGAGGCCTAGGTACTTCATCGGGCGGTTGCAACCCTGTTAGCACCATTTTCACTTGAAGAACGAGATAACATTTTCTCGAGAAAATTTGCCTCCAAGGAGATCGTAAAAATACCAGTGGCACCAATGAGATTTTCTGACACCTGCACTGCTAGGACCCAAGCGGCCTTTGAACTACGGCCGTGGTAGTTCCGAGTCCCAACGGCTCATAAAAAACCGGCTCAAGGCAAGCGCAGGGCCGTGATAAATCGTTCCTCAGCGGCGAGCCTGCCATCCATCCACCAGGAACACGGGAGGCCAAAAGCCGAAACCGCTGTGCGTCTGGGTCAGATTCTCGATTCCGATTGCAATGCAGTCGCAGGCAGCGGCTGCGCCTGCGCGCTCTGCGTGCACCGCACCGCACACACCCGCTGCACAGAGCGCAGGCACCGGCTGCCTGCCTGGTGCCTATACGCTACACCTTCGGGTCGGAAGGTCTGATCCATTTACAGTGTCCACTCTACTCTATACTGCTGAGAGGGATGGCCATTTACTACTGTACTGACGTCAAGAAATGGAGTGAATCTCATCACCGGGTGGCATTTTTCAAGTTCTTGGGCCCAAAATGATCAGCACCGGCTGACTCGGCGAGTAATAATTTGTGAAACACGGCGAAGAGATCATGTACGTACCGGTGTCTAGGTTGCCGATGATGACGCCGTCGCCGTACCTTGCCTTTGCCCAGATGGAGTCGGGCCTCACCCGGCCGTCCTTCTCCATCCCGAGGAACTCCCATGAGCGGGTGGTGTGCAGCTTATGCCCTCTGTTGGGGAAAACAGAGACGACGCTCGGGTGCTCTGCACGCGCAGCGTAAACACACGGCTTAATACCAAGAACCCATCGAAAACAGAATCCCACACCCAGCAAAAACCACATGCAAGTGCCGTGTAGATGGAAATATAAATTATCCAGTAGTGCAGGAAGAAGACAAGCGAAGAAGATGACGATGAAGAGTTGAGGACGCACTTGAGATCTGCATTGCGTCTTCCTCCTCCAGCGTGGCGGCGAAGCCATTGATGTACCTGGTGTAGGAGTAGAAGATGGCGTCCTGCGCCTTCTCCTCGCTGCATGGATTGCCTCCAGATGTTAATCTACAAGTTTGCAGTGATCGGCTGGAGGGCGCTTGGATTCGACTCACTTACCTTCCGAGGACGGAGCCCAAGAACTGGTAGTGGGAGCTCTTGGCGCGTTCCTGGTTGGAGGCGAGCGCCGCGCCCTCCCTGCCATGCGAGTGGCATCCGAGGTACACAACATACGACTGCAGCAAATCGGCAAACCTTTACCACCACCAGCGAAAAGAGACACACGGAGAAGCGAACCAAGAAGAAGATGGCCAGGAGCTAGCAGCCAGCCACCGGCCGCTCCACTCGCCTTTATCTCGGCAGAGGCCGGGCGCTGCAGCAGCGCGAGGCCGCAGACCAGCAGGAGCACCGGAGCAAGAGGAGGAGGAGCACGGGGGCTCCTCTTCTTCCCAGAGGAACGCATGCTGCCGCGCATCTCCTTTTCCGACGGTGCACTGAGTACTGGATGATTGTTGTTGTCGAGAGGGGATTGGGGATGGATTCGGGGCCGGGGTCGGTTCTTGGGGCGCTGCGAGGCAATGGGTACTTGGGAAGGAATGTGCGTGGGCACTGTTGGTTTTTTATAGCGGCATGGGGGCGAGTTTTGTCCTCTCTCTCTGTAACTGAAAGTGTGGGAGCTTTTGTGTGCGCCAAAAGGGCCTTTTGGCCAGGAGCAGCGGCGTGCCTTTCGGTTCAGTTATTATTTCCTCGGCTGTGGTGGCATACGGAAGCCTTTTTGGCAGGTTTTAACTGAAGATATGGCGATGATGAGTGAGCGATGTGCTCAGCTCGCGACATGGATAGACGCCAACTCTTGAATACTGCATATCCATTTGGAGAGATTTTTGGATGCTGCTGCTATTTATGTTCCGCAGTAACGTTCCACCGGCCACCTATGGGCTGTTGTTGCGTTTGCTCAGAGTTTGTTTGGAAAATGGCGTTTTCTTCTTCATAATATAGAGAGCACAATTCGGTTTGACCATACATCATGTGGTGCACGCAGGGACTTGGGAACCAACCATCGTTGGAACAGAGGAGAGTAGTTCGTGTATCCCTAGACCTTGGTTCCTCACAATGGGTTCATGCCGACCCTAAATGGTGAAAAAACAGAAAAAGTGACCGCATAGGGTTAATTCCGACTTTTCGTCGTGCACAAATAAGGATGAAAATAATACTCCTATGTGGTGACTAATAAGGAAATAAATGAAAAAATATAGTATTTTTACTATTAACAAAGAGAGTTGGCGGTCTTTGTGATGGTTGCTTCTCCACCAATGGATACAAATCGGTAAGGAAATAAATACATAATTGATGTATACTAGTAATGTGGTTAATTAATGATATTAATTCTGTAATCTTCATCTCGTTCAAATAAGAAATGAAATAATATTTCATTGATGACTCATAATAAATAAGGGAACGACAAAAGAATAATTAATGCTATTGATATTTGGTATGAGATTTTTTGACGTATGTGCACAAACAAGGAAGAAAATAACACATCATGATAAGTAAGAAATTTAATAAAACCGGCAAATTAATAGAAAGATATTATCACGGTATTACAACATCCATCGTCGTCTGACTAGACACAACGCGATATAATCATGATGATGTTGAAATAGGGAAATGAGAAAAGATAACAAAACAGTCAACGAGGATAACGGTGCACATTGATCAAGAGTTGTTTCACAGGGATGCCGATAAGTCTTGCTTCGGGTTTTGTAAAGTATAACGAAGGAAAAGAGTCACACAGGAATAAGAGGTCCACTATTGCAACACATGTGGATACCGGCAGAGAGATCATACATTTGATCTTTCGTGCGAGGGAATAATTCTTGCGGTTGGGAGCTTAGAAATCCTAGCAGTGGGGAATCGGCATCAACTCACTTCACCAACTCTCCTCTCCGTTGTGTTCTTGTTGGCGAGCAATATAATCTAGATACAATCATTCATTTCATCTTCATAGTGATTCTGGGGTGATTCGTATGTGCGAGTTTCTTCTTTGTTCTACTAAGTTTCACTTTAGAATCTAGTTTGTATTGATAGCATATGTGATTACAAATATATTATGAACACATGACATCTTAACAATTTTTTCCGTAAAAATACAAACATTTTATTTGTAAATCATCTCTCTAGCTTTAGAGGTTGCACGACAAAAGCATGAAGATACATCTAGCCGTACGATCCATTTGTGGTACGGTATAAAACTAGAAGTGGTCTTTTACCACCATCTATATTACATAATACTCCCTCTGTTTCTTTACATAAGGTATTTCTTTCAGCACAGTGACCAAGGCACATAAATATAAAGAAGTTAGGACAAAATTACCCTTGGCAAATTTATTGGTTAGTGGCAAGTACTCCCTCTGTTCCAGAATATAAGGTGTATTGATTTCCATTCAAGTCAATCATTTGAAAGTTTGACCAAGATTATAAAATAAAATATCTACATCCACAATATCTATTAGATAAAATATGAAACTACTTATCATGATGGATCAAATGATATAAATTTGGTATTGTGGATATTGATATATTTTTCAAAAAACTTGATCAAACATGCACAAATTTGACTTTTCAAAAAACAAATTCATGGAGGGAGTAAATCAACTAGTCTACGAAATTAAGAAATAGGAGTACATGCAAGCGAGAGAGGATATTTTCCTTCTTTTGCTACAAGAAGAGACACAAACAATCGGGTGAGAGATACTTTCCTTTTCTCTGAAGGGCTAAAAATGGATTTCTGAGGAATGGGAAGAAATACATCTTACATTGTGAATTTTTTCAAAAAATAAATACACCTCGTATAAAGGAACAAAGGGAGTAATTGCTAAGTATATTTAAAACCTTTTCATTTTTGACACATCAAAATAAATTGCCACAAATGAACAAAATCACTACTTATGACCAACATGGCTAAGATTAAATACACCTTCTACTCCTAAGAGATAATTTGGGGCATCTTAAATGATGATAAATCAAGATTAAGATGTATACATGTAAATAATAGACATAAAAACTTAGGCGCGAACAACCTATGTGTTCTCATAACTGGCCCTGCTAAGATATGGGCCTCCCATTTGGCTTGGGCCTACCGAATTCATGCAAGCTGGACCCAACACACTCATAGCCGAGCGAGAGCAGGGGGAACGCTTCCCCGGCTATTCCTAATCGAAGCCCGAAGGCGGCGAATAGTTGACACGACGCATGCGGGTGCTCACCCCCAGGCCGGCATTGTCTCAAA